TGTGTGTGTGTGTGTGTGTTTTAATCTTATAGGAGGGGGAGGTGAAGAAAGAAGGGGAGGAAGAGGAGAAAGAACAGGAAAAGTTGGGTAAACTGGAGTTTTCCTTGGACTACAACTTCACAGATGCTCAGGTAAGTCCTCCATGGAAATGTCAAAATTCCTGCCCTTTTTCTTTTTGACCACTTAAACCACTGCAGACCAGTTCTGTCCAGATATATTAAAGTTCTGTATTTTAAAGTATTTCTATTTCATCTACCGGAACCAAATTCCTTGTATGTGTCTGCACATATACTTGGCCAATAAACACGATTCTGATTCTGATTCTGATTCATTTACAGTTTAGTTTAGATTTTTATTCCAGATAACTAAAACATTTTTCTCAACTAGTTTTAGTCTTTACTTATAGATAACTCTAATAACATTGATTCTGACACTTGATCTCTTTCCTCTAAAGCTCATCGTGGGTATCCTTCAGGCTCAGGACCTTGCCGCTATGGACATGGGGGGGACTTCAGATCCCTATGTCAAAGTTTTTTTGCTGCCAGATAAAAAGAAGAAGTACGAGACCAAGGTTCAGCGCAAAAACCTGTGCCCTGTTTTCAACGAAACTTTCATCTTCAAGGTACTACTTGTTCTTGTCGACTTGATGCTGTCAGGGTTTTGTCTTTGTCACAGCTCGAGTTGGTGCTTCGGGCTGTTGCTTTTCACGCTTCGCTGGGCACAAGTCTCCACTTCCTCTTCAGACTTTTCTTCCCCTTAATCAAACTCAACCTGTCCCTTCCCCCCAAAATACCAATGCAGTATGTTTTGAAATGTCTGTTATCATTTCCCCCCTCTTTTTAGATTCCATACGCAGAGCTGGGTGGAAAGACTTTGGTCTTGCAGGTTTTTGACTTTGATCGATTCTCCAAGCATGACATGATCGGTGAAATAAAGATTCCAATGAACAGTGTTGATTTGGGTCAGCCAATGCAACAATGGAGGGACTTGGAGAGTGGTGAGAAGGAGGAGGTACTGTATCTTTGTTTAAACATGTTTCAGCTCTTCAACCCTTCAATGCTAAACATCTGGATAATAACCCTTTTTCAATATTCTCTTCACAAAATTTTATCCCTGCAGGAAAAACTGGGTGATATCTGCATCTCATTGCGCTATGTACCCACTGCCGGGAAACTGACAGTGAACATCATGGAGGCAAAGAACCTTAAGAAAATGGATGTTGGAGGTTTATCAGGTAATCAGGCCTCATGATTTTATCAGTCAAATAAATGAAAAAATAAATCCCCAAGTATCATAAGGAATTGAAATAGACATGCATGATGCAACTCACCTTCACTTCCTCTTTCAAAAGACCCATATGTGAAGATTGTTCTGCAACAAAATGGGAAACGGATTAAAAAGAAGAAGACAACAGTAAAGAAAAACACACTCAATCCTTATTTTAATGAGAGTTTCAGCTTTGAAGTCCCCTTTGAGCAAATACAGGTACCTTTTATTACCGGTAATCAGTTTTGAAACACCAAGCACTGTGTGGACAAGCTTGTCATTTGTATTTCTTTTGCCTTTCAGAAAGTGCAGGTTGTCATCACAGTATTCGACTACGATAAACTTGGAAGCAACGACCCTATTGGAAAGACCTTTATGGGTTACGGAGCTACAGGAGTCGGACTGCGCCACTGGTCAGACATGCTTGCTAATCCCAGACGTCCAGTAGCCCAGTGGCACACTCTTCTGCCTGAAGAAGAAGTAGATGCGGCACTCAAAGCAAAACCTCGTTAGAGTCACACCTGAGTAGTGACTGCTGCCAATATGCTACTTGTTGTTAAACCCGAAGTTTTCTTAATTTCTATTTTCTCCTTTCCATTTTATTTCCTTTGAGACACATATTGCGTGTGTGTGTGTCTGTAGGTGTGTATATATGCACCTGTCAAGCAATGTTTGATATTTGGCTGTTATTAAAACCTTGTTTCCCCATATTTACCTCATACCATAAACCAAAGTGATTGTCTTTATAAGCCTAGAAACCACATATCTGTAAATGTGCATCTCTTGTGTAGGCCCATGCAAGGTTATGTTAAAAATTGATGAAAGAGAGTTTATTCACATAATAAACAACTTTGTTGTTTTTTAATGTATTTTGGGCCTTTTTGCTCACTTTCTAGTGTTGTGGTGCAATAAACAAATAAACCTACAATGGAATGTTTCACATTAATGCTCAGTTTCTTTTAATAAATTGAATAAACTTTAACAATGAAGGCACTCATAGAAGAGCGTACTGTGTAATTCACTCTTTTCACCAGTAGATGGTGTCTACGTAGCCAAAAGTGTTGCCTAGCAACAGAACCCAAACTTACTTTCAGCTTCACACTTTTTACAGCTGTCGTCAAAGAGTCGGTCGGGTGAGGTTTAACAAACAGTTTTTGATATTATCTAAGGTTTTTTAATTACAGAATTAAAGTCAGAGACACACTTATGCGTTTGAGCAATAGCTGTATTTTCAGGGCACCATTTAAAAGTTCTGTAGCAGTTGGCTAGCATTAGTTGAACTAAGCTATTTTATATTTTTACGGCTTTGTGTTAAGATATGGTCCCTTGCCTACCGCCGTTTGTTTTGTCTTGACGTAAACCAACGGGGTACACGCCTTCGTTTGCCTTTCTTTGCAGTATGAGTGCTGGACGGCCATCTGAGGGTGCGGGTTGCATCACTTGGTGGGGCTTCAGTCCTGCACGCGACCTGCTCCATATCGGTAAGAGTCTTGGCTGCACGAGGATCCTGTGAGTGGGCCCGCGCACGTGCGTCAGAGCAGATAAAGGATTGTATGAGTTGCTTTGATGTTTTACAAGAGTATTCATTTATTATGCTGCGTTGAGTGCATTTAAAAATAGACAGCCACGTTTTAGTTTCACACACATAAATACACAATACACGTGTGATATCTCAAAATTAGGTACAGTCTGTCAGGTTTTTTTTTTTTTTAGGTTTTTTTAATAGAAAAAATAATGGTGTACTCATAAATATAGATTTATTAGTGTGCAATTCTAAATTTATTTTAAATTCCAACAAATAAAGAATTAAAGCATTAAAAATACATAGTGTAAGATGTCATGTTGCCTCTTGAATACAGTGATCCCGATGGACTGTTCTGCCTGATCTTACGTATGTGGCCAGAGAATTGCCACATATGTCTTATATCAGAGACAGAAAAGAAGTTAATTCTCAGGAGTTCATGTGCTGAGGAGGCAAGTTTTAATTCATGTTTGCACCTTCATACTCAAGATATGAAGAATTCTTTTATTATCTGAGAAGGGATCCACTTCAACAATTAAGTGAAAGCACAAAAAGAGACAACACAATCAGCATCTGAATAAAAGTTCATCCTCTTCCTCCTCTCAAGCCCCATCTCCTGAACTGAAGTCAGGAAGACACGCATAAACATGCTTATTTATTCCTGATATTGCCGCAGTTACTGATCGTCAGCAGATTAAACATGCGACCCTCCTGTCTCTGGACAGCTGATGATGAACCAGCTAAACAAAAACACCAGCTGGTTATAAACTAGCCAAATGTACTTCTGAGGCTAATGGTAGGCCTCAGAAGTACATTTCCTCCCAATAAAGTGTTTGATTACATTCTCACATTGCATGAGAGTCCAACAATTCTGGATCCGCTTAAAAGAAAGTTTCACTAATGCCAGCTAACAGCAGCTAACAGAGGCAAAAATAGCACTGATGATCAATCATTTGTCATATTATAATTGGTCACACTGATATAAATAGTGTTTATCACAGTTGGATCTTGGAGTTGATGGCAATATTTGAGTGAAGATGAGGCTGAAATGATTTAAAGACTGTAAAACAACTAAATGCATTTTTCACTGAGTTTTTTGGTGCAGCTGTAGACAGTTTGTCTTCTGAACATTTTGCGGAAATTTGTTCAAAGATTGAAATTTGACATTTGAAAGGTATGGTGTCTGATCCTTCCACTCAAAATCACACAAATCAACCTTGGTAAGTCGACCCAGAACTGGATACACGCAATGGATCAGCAAACTGTGTCATCCGTCAGTCGTGTTTTATCATCTGATACTGTATCCTACACTGTGTCTCTGTCAACTCTGTCATTATCACAGGTCCATCAGTAAACATCTGACCTGTTTCTCCAGATTTCCATATTCAGTTTCTATCACCTACAGTTTGTCCCTGTCAGGTTAAATGTACTGAGGTTCCTTATCCAGCAACAGAAGCATAATATGTGTTTTCTCTCTCTCTCTCTCTCTTTCTCTTACTAGGCCCTGAGAGACGTGAAGGGGAAATGAATGTTTTACTGGTGGGCAGTGGAGATCCACGACATATTTTAAAGACCATTGCCGGTTTGCAAGACAAACAAAGTGTCCATGTGAGCCTAAGTCTTTTAAAACTGCAAATGGCTAACAATACTTTGAGCTTCAAATAACTTCTTTTTGCCACACTGCAGATATGGGTCATAGAAAACAACATGGAGGTGGTTGCCAGACAGCTGCTGCTCCTCTACCTGGCACTGATTCCCCAGGACAGCATGGGGATTAATGGTACATGGGAGTTGGATAAATTATTCATTTTATTAAAGCAAGATATGTTGTTGTCCATAAACCAGTGGGGTTTTTTAATCCTTATTTTAAATCTTTAGAGAAGACCGAAGTTTTCCTAGAGGTGTTTGGAAACGCAGAAATCCGCAGTCAGGCAGAGGAAGTACTGCAATGTGTAGCATCACAACTTTCTCTGTCCGTTACTGAAACGATGGCAACGCATGCCTGTCTGAACACAACTCTCCTTAAGGTACAAACATCGCTGAAGGAGCGTATTTTTACCTAAACAGCCAGACATTGCAGCTTGCTCAGTATAACCTGTAGTGCACTGCACATAATCATTGAAATTTGTAAGTGTAAGTGCTTTACACATTCAGAAAAAGCTTCAAAATTTTATTCACTGAGTATGGACACTTTTTACAGTTTAAGGAGCGAGACGAACTGGACATGATATTTAAGTCATGGATCCAAACTCGGTCTTCATCACCAGAGCGTCCTGCTCCTATCATGTCCAAAGCTTGGGATTATCGAGTCAGGCAACACCTTGGGACACGCTATGACTCCAAGAAGGGCTGCTTTGAGTGGGATCTTACAATGAAGCTTCATGAGAAAGGGGTATCTGAGTACTTTCTGCACATTCCTCTGGTGTGGCCAGAGATTTTGCAAATAAAAAGTTGGTTAAAGAAATTCAAATATATGTTTGTGTCCTGGTTGTCTGCAGTGTGGCGTCATCAACAGACAGCAATACATGCGATGGAGGGAACAGGGACTGGCATTCGAAATGAGGGAAGGCGTCTATCAAATAACTAATCCTAGTTTGCTGTCTTCAAGAGTCTTTAGTCAGGTAATTACATATTGGTTTTTTCTACATCGCTCTTCTACAGTGCCGTGAATTTTTCCCTTCAATGATTTTTTTTTGTCACGTGTTTCACATTTGGGATCATTAAAGAAATCTTAATATTCGACCAAGATACACTGTGTGGATAGAATATGCAGTTTTTAAATTATGATTTCATTTATTAGGAGGAAAAAAAACTATCCAAACATGCCTGGCCCTGCTTGAAAAAGTCATTGTCCTCGTATTGTTTTAATTCATCCACTGGAGGATTTTAAGTATGAACAGACTTGTTTAAAGCTTGTCAAAGTAACTCAGTCTGATTTTAGTCCAGACAAACCTTCCAAAAAGTTCAGCTTTTGACTCATCATCAAGATGTTTTTTGGCAAACATGAGAGAAGCCTGTTCTTTTTGGTCAGCAGTGGTTTTCATCTCGGGGCTCCTGTGGATGCCATTTCTGCTTAGTCTCTTTCTTATTGTTGAATCATGAACTCTGACCTTAACTGAGGCAAGTGAGCCCTGCAGTTCTTTAGATGCTGTTCAGGGTTTTTTGTGCCCTCTGGATGAGTCATCTATGTGCTCTTGGAGTAATTTTAGTAGGCTGGCAAGGTTCACCCTGTTTCATGTTTTCTTCATTTGTGGATAATAAGGACTCTAGCTGTGGTTCACTGGAGTCCCAAAGCCTAATAAAATTCTTTGTAACCATTTGTAGATGATAGATATAGAAGCCTGCTCTATCTATCACCTAAACAGAACAGACAGGTTGTGTTTAAATGATTTCATGATCCAGCAGGTCTGGCATTAATCAGGCCTGAGTGTGAAGGAGAAGAAATTGAACTCAGCCATAAAGAATGTGGTTATCACAGTTCATTCATGATTCAACAAAAGGGGCAATGCCTTTTTCACACAGGGCCAGATAGGTAAGCATAACGTTTTTTCCCCTAATAAATAAGACCATCATTGAAAACCTGCATTTTGTATTTACTCGGGTTATCTTTGTATTATATTTAAAATGAGTTTGCTGAACTGAAACATGTAAGTGTGACAAATGTGTGAAAAACCATATCAAGAAATCAGGAAGGGGCCAGCTACTTTTTCACTTCACTGTAAACAGTAAGTTGACGAAGGAAGCTAATTTTGGTCATGTGTCTGTACAGAAAGGAGACAAAGTAGCCATCAGGGGATACTGGGGAGACATTGTTTCTAGTCCTTATCTGTCCTTTGGCATTGAAACTGATGACAAGAGTCTGCTGAAGACACAGAATGGGCAACCCATTAAGGTAAAACATACAAAGTTTTCTGTCTTTTTCTGTCTTCATTGCTGGAATCAGTGTGCGCACATCTCTAAACACATTACTGTCTGTCTGTTGTCATCCATCCTGTTCTCACATCCACAGACCGCCCAGGATATCTCTTTCGCAAATCTGCAAGGATTGTTCCAGTCCCTGTCCAGCAGACGGGGCTGCCCTACTACTTCTCAAACATACACCGATGCAGAGGACGACACATCCATACGGACTGTCAGTATTAAAGGTGAAATGCTAAAAGGCCTTCAGCTTTAGCTTTGATTAAAACCAGAGTGTAAAACCACTGTGACAAAAAGACCCTTAAAGTGATGTGAAAGGTTGGTTTCTATTTTTATATGTTCTTTCATTTTGTTCTTTTGGACAACTTTAAGAGAAGTTTAAAGGGGAATGAGGTGCTCCAGCTATTTACTGTATTACTTCCTGTCTTCATGCAATATGTTTTGATGTTTCATTTCCAGAAAATAGCAACTAAAACCAGCACTGCGTTTTCTCTAATCCCATTCAGACTTGATGTATCCAAATGGGATCTCTGTCACCTTCCTGCCTTTGGACTCATTTCACAAACTGCCTGAGAAACAGAAATATTCCCAATTCTTCAACACCATTTACTTCTCCGCCAGGTGGATTTTTCTTTAAATGAATACGAAATATATTAAGTCATCTTGAAAAAATATTCCTTTAGCATCCAGTCACCTGGACTGCACACTACTGATATAACTGCTGACCATGTTTCGTTCTCTGTGCTTTTGCTTCCTTCTCTGCCTCTGCTGTAAAGCTTTGTGCACCAGTTGGGCCCGATGATGAGACAGATTGCAGCACCAGACGCTGTGCTTGTCGTGGAGTTGGCCAAGTGAGGGTTTTTTTAGTAACACAGGGCTCGTTACCATGGCCACCAGGACTACAGTGACTGCCGTGTATCGGCATTTGCATATGGGATATTTTGAGTTTGCCACATATTCCTTATAATTCAATTGTGACACTGTTCTTGAAAGTTAATAGCGACAGCGATTGCCATATTTGGATTCACAGTGCATTCCTGTGTCATTATTTGTGTCTCAGGTACATTTTGGATCTGAATAAAGAGCAAGAAGCTGGCTTTGCAAAGAAAGTAGAGGACATCGCTTTAGAGGCTGGATTTGAACCTTGGCATGAGGGGACCAGTAATGACGTCCACGCCGTCTTCGTACAACACATAAAGTAGAGATGTTCGTATCGCAGCATAGCTGTTTACCAAGATGCGAGAGACACTTAGCATAATAAAGCCATACAACAGAGACATTTCACATCTTGTTTATCAGCAGTTTGCAAACCAACTAGGAGGAGCTGTCAGATGCTTCAGATAATAATTCATATTTGTTTGGTAGCAACTATGAATTAATAATATTTCACATCTTGTTTAAATGAAACCATTACAGCAGTTCAAATATATTTATATGTGTATTTTAATAGCCACAAATGTAAGTATAAGTTGATGTATTCAAATAAACCCTACAGGAAGCCATTATTTGAACACTGCAAAGGTGCTGGAAGTTTGTCCTGGAACTATTGAACCATCCTCTTGTTTGTTTATGCTTCCTGTGTGTGTCTGTGTGTGTATGAGGTCACTTCCAACGTCCTCCAACTTTTCCCTTGCCATGTCCCTTTTTGCTGCATTAAGAAAAAAGAAGATTAAAAGGAGATCGTAAACAGTAGTTCACAGGAGATCAGCGAAATGTAAGAGAGTAAAGTAGTGCTAGTTCCTCTTTCTGCTCTGTCGCTTTATTTAAATATATTAAATAAAGTGTGTGTGTGTGTATCCTGTTCAGAAAGTAGCAAGATCTTAGATTATTGTGTTTCCTGTGCGTGTGTGGTTGTTGCCAGTGACCTGTGAAATCTTTGCATAGTCAAAGATGTGCAAAGAGTTGATCTACCTACAACCCTGCACTTAGCTCCCTTGTTTTGTGGGTAGATTGAGACAAGCCGTCTGACTCACAATTTCTGAGCGTGTTGGATCCTGTTCAGGAGGACATTGATCTGAAAAAGAAAAAGTACATAAAAATATAATGTCTCCGATTTCTAATATAAAAATCTTAAATATTCCCAAGTAAAGGGCTAACCTCATATTTCTGTCTCTTCATCTTCTCAGTCAGATCAAACTTTTCTGACTCCAGCTGGTGGATCCATTCCCACATCTCCTTGGCTCGCTCTCTAAAACACAAAAGGCATTACAGCTTGTGTCTAAGGCTTAAACAATTGTTTGCCTCAGGCTTATCCAGCTGATATATCTATAGCATGTAGCTAAATAAAAATGTAATCCAGTGAAGGCTTTAACTGACCTCAGGCCATCCTCTTTCAGGCTCTCAATTGCCAGTGGCTTGCGTCTTTCTGCCAGTGTCTTCTTTTTGATTTCCCTTGCAGTTTGTCTTTTACCCCGTTTCTGCTCTGCCTGTAAGAAACGACCGCTCTTGCCCAGTCACATCAGCCTAGAAATGCACCTCACATATCTGCAGAATATAGCGGTACGCCTGCCCACAAATGAATCACTTGAATCCCTCTGACCTTTGCTAGGAACCCTCCAAAGTGAGCACCCATGTTGGAGAGAACTTTCTTCTTCTTGGCCTCATCATCTGCTCTCTTCTTTGCCTCTTCATCCTCTTTCCTCTGCCGCTCCTCCTGAGTTGCATCGTCACTTAAATTATTCTTTTCTTTGTTGGATTATTGATATTTTCATGGAATAAGCAACATATGTGTTAACATAATTCATTACCGCTATCCGTGTCTGTCTATCCCGCTCTTTTTCAGCCCTTACACGCTGCTGCTCAGCTCTTTCTGCCCTCCGGCTTTCCTACGTTGAAAAAAAAACAACTCTGCTGCTTTACTCTCTATTAGCCTGAATGGTGACTGCACCCTGACAAATCCCTTTTTCATACAAACAAGTGAGGGGAAAATAGACAAACATGCAAAACAAGAAAATAGTATGGGGAAGGGCATTACAATTCTTGCTTTGAGTCCAATCAATTCCTCTTCTTCTTTCTTCCTCTGCTCAAAGTGGACCTCAATCAGTGTCTGTAGTTCCAGAAGATCTTTTTCCATCCTTTTCCTATGGATATCCTAGCATGGGAGAAACTTACTGGGATTACTTATGTTTGGTTTTCGTGTAATGTATTTCTTTTCTTAAACAATGATATTAAGGCACTTACATCAAAGTCAACCCTCTCTCCCTCTGGGATTTTTGGTGCACCGAGTTGCGTAAGTGGCCTGTAAAACCACATGAAGGCGTACTGATTTGTTATGCTTTGTTTATTACTAATCAAATCATTTTGAAAGCTCACAGCATAATATTCTTGTATTTTCTTACTTGTATTTGGGCCGTTCTTCTTCAGTATGGCAGCCAGAAAAGTAATGAAACAGTAAATCAGTTATTATCATCATTATTATTATTGTTGTTATTGTTATTAGAATAATCAAAAATACATCTTGAAACAGAAAAGCTCAAGTTAAACCAAGTTTATATCAGACAGGAAGCTGTTTATCTTATTCAACCATCTCACACTCAACGTCGCAAAGACAAAGGAGTTGATAGTGGACTTCCGGAGGTGCAGAGAAGTACACACCCCATCACCATCAACGGCGCTGCTGTGGAGAGAGTGAGCAGCTTCCGGTTCCTTGGTGTACATCTGGCTGAGGATCTTACGTGGTCAGTACACACAAACAAAACATCACTGGATGCATCACCACCTGGTATGGCAACAGCACCGCCTACAACTGCAAAGCTCTCCAGCGAGTAGTGCGGTGCTCTGAACGGATAATTGGAGGTGAGCTTCCCTCCCTCCAAGACATCTACAGGAAGCGTGCCTGAGGAAAGCGGGGAGGATCATCAAGGACTCCAGTCACCCCAGCCATAAACTGTTCAGACTACTTCCATCAGGAAGGAGGTTCTGCAGCATCCGGTCCCGTACCAGCAGACTGAGAGACAGCTTCTTCCACCAGGCCATCAGACTGCTGAACACGTCATAGACACCTCAGCTTCACTACTGGAACTTCAACATTATGCACTCCATACTGTACAGTAATGCCACTGTTTTGCACATGTCTCAACTCTGTATATTTTTATATATTTTATTTATTGTTTACTCTATTTAATTTGTAAAATATGTGTAACACACACACACACACACACACACACACACACACACACACACACACACACACACACACACACACGTAGAAAAATATTTAGTATACACATCCAGAAATGCATATACTATTATATATTGTACATATATTTATTAGTTTCAGATGTAGCCATTCTTGTATTTTGCTTGTTTACGTTATTGTATTTTGCACAACTCTGTTGCTTGTGAAGCTCGCACACAAGAATTTCACTCACATGTACTGTACCAATGTACCTGCACATGTGATGTGACAATAAAAGTGATTTGATTTGATTTGATTTGTTGGAACCTCCCTGCAATTCGTTTTCATTTACTGTTTGAATCAAGCTGTTTACCTTCTTTAAAGCTCACTTTCTTCATATTGGCAGCCACTAACAAGCAAAACAGCATGCAGGTGAGTCTCTTATGCTCACCTCCAGAGATTAAAATGTTAAAGATTCCCACATAGTACACAGCCAAGAGTGGAAATAAATGAAACAGAGGAGTCAAGGAGGCCATCTATGTCCAGCTTGAACAGCCGTCATTAAGTAGAGGTGGTGGCCTATGACACCATTTGTCAGCTACTTGGAACACAGTCTTGAGATCCTTTCCCATGCGATTCAACCCCAACTCACACCTCGACCCATGTGACCTTTATAACTCGTATGGTGAGGGTGGAAAAAAAAATTCACAAATGTTACAGATGTTTCTAACGACTCACATGATGAAAGAGTGGTTTAACTCAGCACTCTCTAAACCACCTCCAAGGTGACAGCCCCACCTTTGCCAGCTTTGCCTCTCCAAAGCATGAAATGGACATGCATGCAAAAGTTGTGGTACTGCATGCAAAGGTTGCAGAACCAGAAAGGGGAGATAATATATTTAACCCTGTGAGACCCAACCCATCAAAAAATAGCCAGAAATTTCAGATTTTTTGGAACTGAGATGTTCTTATAACAAAATCCACAATTTTTTTTTTGTATCATGTTTATGATATATTTATTATATATTTTTTGTATCGCATTTGATAAATTGGGCGTGTTTGGCAACTTTTTGTTAACAACAATGTTAATTTTAGAGAAAAAAAAAGAGTTTTGTCCATAACATTTTGAAATTATGGCAAGTATTGATCATGTTGATGACATAGAGGTCTCAGAAATTCATGTAGCAAATATGATACAAATGGCATTACAGGGTTAAAACCAAGAAGTGGCTAGTGAGCAAGGAATGTATGAAGTACGCTAGGTCCTTAATCACCAGAAAAAATTAAGCTAGGCGGCTAATGTGTATTTACATGTAAATCTGTTAGTAATGTCTGTTTAAATGCTTTCCGATCATTTTCATGTTTGCTTTAAATAAAATATCTCCCTCTGCTGGTGCTGCAGCTTACAGGCTACCTCAACATGCGTGTCCAAATGGACCAGCGCATCTATTACACGTTTTGCCGTGATACTGGGTTGTGTACTAAGGTAGTGATTATGGACTACCCACAGAAATACAGAATCAACACGTAAACATTAAGTCAATTACAGGATTTAAACCATATTCACAATTGTGTGGGTCTATGGGGTGTCTCTACTACTGGATTGCTAAAACAGCTGGTAGTTGATGTGTTATCTCCAAGGTATGCTAAATATAATCAACCCACACTGAGCCTTCAGTCTCACCTCCCTCTCCCTGCTCCTCATCTTCTTCTGGAGAAAGAAAGAGTCACAGTCTGATTGAGTTGAGATATGAATTGCAGCTTATATATTTATTAAATGAAAGAATTGCTGCCCTTACCCTCGTGATGCCCTCTAAATCAAAAGGAATTGAAAGAATGCATTAGACGTGCCATAAAACACAAGTTAATGAATTAGAACTTTCTGGACTGGATCGACTCACCCGTGTTCATCTAAGTAAGACATGATGACACTGGAAAGACACATAGAAATCAGTGCTATTATGTATAGTTATAATGCACCACACGTCTTTTTCCAAACCTTTGAAATTAAAAAAGCAACATTCAGTGTAAGATTTTACTTTAGGGGATAAGATTAAGTGAAAGGCCATTTGGAGCTAATGATCTAGGAATAGAAGAGGCCAGAGGGACACTGGATTGGAGCAGCATCCAATTATCCAGGATCAGAGTGAGGTAACAGCTGTCCAGTCCATCTTGTTTAATTTGATTTACAAGAGAGAATGTGGGATAGAAGGAGATTAAGCTGGTCGGCTAGCTGCTATTAACACCAGCCAAGTCCTCTATTATCATTTGATCTACGTGCAGTCTCAGTAAATTAAAAGGATCTTTAAATACGTGCGTAGCCTCACAGATATTTTAACCATTACTTCATAGGCTTATGCACATGTGTCACTGTGAGATGTTGCATGAGTACAAAACCATGTTTGACTGATCAAATAGACAAAAACCAACAAAGGCAAATTTGTGATATTGAAGTCTCATTCCTATGCAAATGTATGATACTACCTGTTTACAGGCACTGATAAAAGTGTCTACAATACCTCACAGGTCAATTTTAGCAAGGATTTTAAGATATGACTGTGTCGGTCTAAATAAACAGGTATGGACAAAAGGACTGAAGGATTTCAGGAGGATTTTATTGCATTAATTGACCAGCAGAGTTACCGAGAATAACTGGAGCATGTTTATTCTGAGAAATGTTACACCTTTATCATCACCCACTAACACACTGGTGGGTCCAGTATTTAAATACATTACAGAATTGTTTTGATCAAGAATAAACCACTGAGTTTTTTCACTTCATGAAAATCCCAAACACCAAATGCTGCACACTGGGTGTTTATATTTCACTCAAAATAACCGGAAAAGACACTGAATATAACAAATAAGTCATTTCCAAATCCAAACTCACTAATCTGAGCAAAGTTTTTAGTGTCTTATCATCAAAGTCGTTCCATTTATTGCAAATGCTTGATTTTTTATAGCCGTTAATTTAGCAATACTAAGTTGGGCATGTGCTCAGTGGAAACTGTAGCTCGAGCTGATTATCTTATTTGGATGTGGATGGTGCTATAATTTAAATGTCAGTTTAGATATCATAGGAAAAGGTCAAAGTACATACCTGAACAGCAGACAACAACACTGATGTTGAAACGAAGAGCAGTAACAAGTGCAGGGGAAACACAGCTTTATATGGGGTCCTCTGGGCGACGAGGAGGAGTGTGTGTGTGTGTGTGTGTGTGTGTGTGTGT